GAAGAACAACTCAGCTCTTGTTCACCTTCATTTTCTCCATTAAGGATAAGCATCAGCAAAATAGAAAGTGGAAAACAAGACTGTTTTTTTTTTTTGAGATGGAGTCTCACTCTGCTGCCCCAGCTGGAATGCAAAATGGCACGATCTCAACTTACTGCAACCTCCACCTCCCAGGTTCAAGTGATTCTCCTGCTTCAGCCTCCTAAGTAGCTAGGATTATAGGTATGCACCATCACCCCTGGCTACTTTTTTGTATTTTTAGTAGAGATGGGCTTTCTCCATGTTGGCCAGGCTGGTCTCAAATTTTTGACCTCATGATCTGCCCGCCCCAGCCTCCCAAAGTGCTGAGATTACAGGCACGAGCCACCACGCCTGGCAAAAACAAGCATTTCCAAAAGGGAATTGATGACCAAAATGAGTGAAACGGTAGTAAGAAAACCCTTCTCAATTAAAAAAAAACTTAAATCCCATGCCCAGGTAAATTTAATGACGGTCATCACAAGTCACATTTCTTTGGCATTCCATGGCTTTAAAAAAAGTCCTTTCCCTCTATTATCACAGTTTATGAATTTAATGTCCAAATGGTTTCTAGGGTTCAGAATGAAGAGTTGACATGAACCTTTAGGCAGAACCCTCTAGAAACAATTTTTTTTTTTTTGACTGACACAGAAAAGTAGTCTTCACTTCATATTAGCAACCAAGAAGAGAGAATTAAATCACATGGCATAGTTTTGCCCTTTTAGAGAGTATTTTTTTTAATGTTTCCTAATGTTTATCATGCAAAAAATAACTTGAGCTAAGTCCTAAGAAAAATGAAAACCCCCTTTAATGAAACAGCGTGTTGTGGGCATTAGGAGAAGCAAATGTTACATGTAAAAGAAAGATGAAGGAAAGGAGAGAGGGCCAACTTATTGGCCCTAACAGGAGCTCATGCTCTGCTCTGACTTACCCCACTGAGGTTCATGCCCAGCGCCCAGACATTTGCAACATCCTGAGTTTCTGCCCAAAGGTTTTAGCGCACAGAGTGTGGTTTAGGAGCGCCATCTCACGTCAGACTCAGAAACTACAACAAGTTTTCACAAGGCATGAAGAATCACTTTAACTAAAAGTATCTAACTGAAATTCTGGCCATAACCTAAATTCAAGCCTATGGTTATTTCCCTAGTCCATGCAGCTGAATTCCAACACAGGTTTAATAGTCTATATTGAATAATTTAAAAATTTGTCTCCATGCAAAATAGAATCATGGGACTGGATGGTATCATTACCACAATGTTAAGTGACAGTAAGTTCTTTGACCATACAAGTGGCCTAAAGATTCAGGTGTTTCAAAGTGGAAGCCCTCTCATTCCCTAGCTGACTTCCTGTCCTTGATCCTCCTCTCTGCAGTTCTCTATCATCTCTCAGACCCTCCCTATCCTTACAGCCCATGCTTCAGGGAATAGCAAAGCCTGACCCCAAAACCCTCACTGGGTCTCAAAACTTCTGCCATCTCAAGCATCCGTTGAATTTCCAAAGAATTTTCCTTGGCTCAGTATTTTCTGAATTTAGATTCAGAAAATGATGTGTATTGGTCCTAGGTATGGGGAGAGGAGGTGGGCAATGGCTGAGGATGTGCAGGTGTTGTAAAGAGGCGCATAATGAGGGATGGGTTTAGCAGAGAACAGCAGGTGTTTCAACTTTAACACACTCTCTCCATCGTATTGCTTCCTAATTTACTTAAAATGGTAACACATTTTGCTCAATCAGAAATTTTCTCCCAATGACCCTACAAACAAACTTGCATATTCCTTGTAAAAACAAAAACTGCCTTTAATTCTACCTGCAAAATAACAATTCCGACTTTATTCTGTTGTAAGTAAATTTGACTTTTTCTTTTCTTTGTTTTAATGAAAAATGGACCTGACCATGGCAGTGTCAGAATTTCAGAAAGGATGACCAAAGGTTGGAGTGAAATCCTTGGCTCTAGGACTTCTTTAGAAATTAATAGATGTGAAGGCAAAAGGTACACAGTCTTAAAGTGCTCAAGTTTCTTCTCAGCAACATCTTTGAGAAATAACCCAGTAAGTGTAATTTCTTGTCTTAGTCCATCCAGGCTGCTATAACAAGATACCATGAACTAGGCAGTTTATAAACAAAAGAAACTTATTCCTCACAGTTCCTTAGGCTGGAAAGTACAAGACCAAGGTGTCAACAGTTTTTGGTGTCTGATGAGTGTTTCCTGGTTCACAGATGGCCATTTTCCTGTGTGTCCCCACATGACAGAAGGGAGGAGGGAGCTCTCTGAGGCCTCTCTTCTAGGGCACTAATCTCACCATGAGAGCTCTACCCTCATGACCTAATCACCTTCAAAAGGCCCCACCTCTAAATACCATCATATTGGGGATTAGGTTTCAATATATGAATTTTGGGACGACACAAACGTTTAGTCCATAGCACCTGAACTGCTGCCCCCATGCAAAAGACGGAGCAAATGAGAATGGAATGGAAGGGGAGAGACACAGCAGGGAAGAGCACAAAACCAATAAATTCATAGGATGTGGTGCAGAGGAACACTCACAGGGGCTCTGCCCCGGTTGCTTATATCTTTTAGAAGCTTCCAATTCAGCTATTTGCATTTCCAAGCCATTCCCGGCCTTCTCTTCTTAATGAAGGGAAGACTAAATGAAGTTTGAAGCTTAAGGAATCTAATTTGCCAATTTCAGGGACTGCACCAGATGAAATCATAAAAAGTAGGGTAATGACATCGGTTCTCTACTCACCGTAGTTGAGTTCAAAGTTGGACTTGGCTCCCTTGAAGTGAGAAAGGTCAGGCTGTCCAGGGAGGCCTGCGGGTTTTGATGAAGTGTGGGCACGAGCCTCCTCTCTGATGCTGTTGCACTCCACTCCCGGAAGTTCGCTTCTGTAAGGTTCACAGGTGCTGCTGCTTGGTATCTTCCCCTACTTCCTTTCTCTGCATCAGGTGCTACAGTAAAAGTCAAGACGGTTTGAAAATTTTCTAAGACCTCAATTTTTCTAAAGATTGGTTTTGGGAGAGGAAGCTGTTAAAACCCAGCTCCCAAGCATAAGAATCGAATTTGTATAAAAAAAAAAAAAAAAAAAAAAGGAGGGGGGCATAGAATAAGCATAGGCTGGCACAAATGGGTTAGGGATATTAAGAAAGGGAGGTACAGCTGGGCACGGTGGCTCATGCCTGTAATCCCAGCACTTTGGGAGCCGAGGTGGGCGGATCACAAGGTCAAGAGATCGAGACCTTCCTGGCCAACATGGTGAAACCCCTGTCTCTACTAAAAACACAAAAATTAGCGGGGCGTGGTGGCACGCACCTCTGGTCCCAGCTACTCGGGAGGCTGAAGCAGAAGAATTGCTTGAACCCAGGAGGCGGAGGTTGCAGTGAGCCGAGATTGCACCACTGTACTCCAGCCTGGCGACAGAGCAAGACTCGGTCTCAAAAAATAAGAAAAAAAGAAAGGGAAGTACACAGTGACCTAAATAGAAGCATTTCACTAGTAAGTTTTTTCTCCTTGAAGAACAGACAGAAGCTTTTCAAAATAATAATAGGATGATGAGATTACAATTATTTTTTAGACTATTTTTCCTAAACTTTTATGTTCCAGATTTCTTGCAATAAGCAAATCTTGATTTCATACTTACCAAATATTAAACATGATTATGAAAAAGAAATCTTTTATATCAGTATTTAATTCAATTTATTTCTAAGTTATAATGATTTCTATTTTCTACCTTTGATAGTAGATGGTGACAAAATTTAACTTTTCTTTGACGATGGGGATCTTGGAAGTCATGGTGTTCACTGATGTCAATATAATTTTTCATTACACAATACTTATAAAAATCTGGAATCTGAATCCTTTTGTCACCTCTGCCACAACTAGAGGTGCATTTCTATATCAAACATCTAATTCTAAGGCTAAAGAATTTTATTTCTCAAGCAAAGACACACTGTGGGAAGGTTTTAATCAATGAAATGACATGAAAATCAATCTGGTACTGTGAGAAGGGACCAAAGTCGATTAGGAGAAATCAATTAGGAGTCCATTATCATGGTTTAGACATAAGGAGTTAAAAGGAGGATGGCATTGATGTCAAGGAAGAAATGGAAGCAGAGGATACTGTAATAAGGCAGTTAAGAGGTCTTAGTAATAGATGCCCCTGTGAAGGGAAACAGAGGAATTGGTGATGACAAGCCCAAGGATCTGGAAGAATTAGGGTATCAGCAACAGGAACAAGTCAATCAAATGGTAAAGAGGGTACATTAAGACATATCATGTTACCGGAAATTTTATAACAATAGATATTGTTTTTAATGATATGTTTGGTAATTAAAATAGTTTGACTCCCAGTAGTGAATAAAAATTAAGATAACAGCAATTTTTAAATTTAGAGATCTACAAATTATATATTTGTAAATACTGGAAATAAAGAGTGGGTAACACTGACCTAAAAATTAAGGCAACAGTAAAAATCCCACTCAGTATCTTGTTATATAAACAATAGTTCTGCTCGGCCTTCAACTGTAGCTGTTCAACATAGGAGCACAAAAGTTTCTTTTAATTTTACTTTGCTTAGCGCTGCTTTCACCACTTTGAAAATCTTGATAAGCACGGAAGTGCACTGAGCACGCAGAGAGGCCTGGGGAAGGTCAGCTGGTGTGCAGTAACGCAAAACAAACAAATTAACTTCTCTCCTGCACAAAGTGTGCAGAGTCATGACAGAAAACAGGGTGCTTTCTTATGAGGCTGACCTGCTTTCCAAGAAGGAGGAATGAGGGTTAGGGAAGAGGTACAGCAAAGAAAAAGGTGGGAAAGGAGGAGAGGAAGAAAGGGCAGGAGAGAGAGAATGGGAACACAGTTAGACACTCATTGCTTTCATTCCTGGCTCCCATGGACACAGCCCAGAAGGAGTGCTGTGGGCCCCTCTGGGGACAGGCTTGAAGCTGGCAGGCTTCTTTCACCCACAGAGCTATTTCGAGCTCTGGCCTCTCTAGCAGGAATTGGTGCCATCGCCCGAGGAGCTAGCATTCCTGACCGGGGGGAGGTAGAGAGGAAAGAAGAGAGCTTTCAAGTGTATTTAACATTCTCCTGCCAGCCCTCTCCAATGGTCTCCCTCCGTTCTTTCTCCAAAGCACCAGACTCATAAGTTTACTGAAGAAAAATAAACTCAGGAATCCAGACTCAGCCTGACAGACATAGTCTCATGGTGAGAACCCTGGATTTGGAGGTGAGTTCTACCAGCCCTGTTCTTTAATACAAGTTTAGTCTATGGTTTAGACTCTGAAACATATGCCTTAAAATGTGTTTCCTTCCCGTATCCTGACCTTAGCCTCCTTTTTAATGTTAAGCTTTTTTCTGTATTGTACTCAGCAAAACTTTTATTGATAGCAGTCTATTTATATCCTGAGCACATATTGTGCTCTTAGCTCTGAGATAAGTATTATAAAGACTCAAAGGAGAGAAAAACGTGTCCCTATTTTGAGGAGAAAGAAGTAGGTGTGGGCTTAGACATCAGAGTACATGCAGGGAGGAGAGCACCCTAAAGTCTGAGAAGATGGGTGAGGACGAGAAGAGGAGCTTTCCCCCAATCTAAGCAGCTTCCCCCGTGTTCCCCAGACTACTCGTCATGGATGCTGTTCTACTTTATAATCAGGATACCCCGCTTTTTGAGAAAGCCCCTTCAGAGTAGGAACTGGCTCTCATTCACCATTACCCTTAGCTTTTAGCATAGGCTTATAGTAGGGTTACAGGCTGAATGAACCTATGCATATGTGAACTGATGGACTGGCAGGATGGCGGGGGAGGAATGGCTGTGTCCTAAGTTCCCAAATCCTCTCCAGACCTCTAGCAGCTTCTTTGAGGGAAAGAAACAGTAAAAAAGGCTTTTCTTCTTGAGTAAACAATGCCTTATATATGTAGACTGCCTTTTTTACCCCCAAACAGTTGTTCATACGCTTCTCACTTGATCGTCACAGAAATCTGTTTGGAAGCTGTGTTGGGGGAGCCTATTGTATTGTATCACTATTTTATTGACAAGGAGGCTGAGGCTCAGAGGAATGACTACCCTCAATCCTGTGTTACTCTGGAAACTCATTTAACAATAGTGGGATTTCACCTGATGAGGCAGTGTGTGGTTTCAGAAGCACACAGGTTAAACCACTGATCTCTGATGAAAAGCCAGGGGTCAGCGTCCCCGTCTTCCAATATCAGGTTAGCTATGGTGCCTTCTTGTCTCCAGACCCTGAAGAAGATGGAGAGGCACATGGTCAGGGGACAACTGTATACGCACTTTGATCTGGAGAGGAAGAATGCCAAGCAGGCTGAAGCCAGACTGGACCAAAGACTGCAGAGACTGGAGTATATCTGCCTCTATCGTATGAAATTGCTGACCTGGGAGCAGAAGCAGCTCCAAAAAGAACTGCAGAAGTTACGGCAAGGTAAGACTTTCAGGACTGGGGAGCAGGTTGCCCCAGAGGCACAGCAGGGCGGCAGGCCTGTCACTCCACTGAGGCCCTTTCAGAGCCCTGCATCCCAAGACAGCAAGAGCTTCTGATCACAGCCTGGATGTTAGGCTGCCTACCCTCTCTTGTCCCTCTCCCATCAATTACATAGCTCCCCGCAGCAGCCCACTCTTAAGCCTTCCTGAGCTAACATTTCTCAGGCTTCTAGTCACTGCCATCTTCCAAATTAGCTCTTTCTTGCTTAAATCCTTAGTTTTCTCCTTTTAAATTTTATTTTTCATTTTGCTTTTCTTACATTATCTGGGTTTGATTTTGTTTCACGCCTTTTTAAATATCTGATCTTTCTCTTTTGGATCTAACAACAATTTACTGAGCAGTTACTAACGTACAAGTCACTGTCCTAGCCCACTTTATGAAAGTTAACAAAGAAAAAGAAAGAAAAGAAAAAAATTCCCTGGAATTAGTACATCAGCTTCCTCCAATGTAAAATAAAAATATTTTCTACCTTATGGAGTTTATTTGAGGATTCAGTGAGCACTTGGAATAGTACCCAAACAAAAAGTAAGTGCTATATAAGTGCCCACTCTTCTCAATTAAAAATTGTTACAGAATTGAAACTCTTCTACTGTTTTTTGTTGAAAATTGTCACAGTTGTACAGTCTGTAGAAACTAGTTCTCCTTTGTTCATCATTAAAACAATTAGATTTTAGTATTACTTAAAAATTCAGCACAGGACAGAAATATCTCGGCTCTTGAAGACTACATCCTTTCTTACTGAAGGCAAGTGCCAGAACTCAGGAGTTTAAAATAGACAGAGCGTATTCGAGAGGAAGGCCTGGTGCTGTAAAAGAACATAAAATCTTTCAGGTCAACACAGCTAATATATGACACAAAGGCCAAGAGTAATAGCCAAATGTCTAGTTTGGGAATTCTTTCTAACTTCCAGCTTTGGGTTTGAAAGATGACTCTGAACAAGTAATTGAACTCCTCTGCTTTCGATTTCCCTGTCTGCAATGAATGGTTAAACCAACCTAGAATGAGAGCTCACATACTGGAAAAGGGTCTTAGAAGCCATTTGGTGGATTCCCACTCTTATTCAAAAAGGACACTGAAGCCCAGATGCCTACTCTCAGGAGGGTGCACAAAAGGCCAGGCCCTACATAAGTGGCTGTCCTTGCTGAGTAGAGAGTTGGGTTGGAAAACGTATGAATCAGGAGGCATAAAACTTTGATTCAGGTGCTTCTGCCTCCATGTCCTTTGGTAGGACATATTCTCTCGAAGCCTCAGACTTCTCAGTAAAATCAGGGATAAAGGAAGGAAGCAACATATATTAATTCTCAATATTTCTTAGGCACTGTGCTAGGCAATAGTTTTCCATGATTCATTTAAATAAAATTGTTATTGGGATTTAGTTATATGCCAGTGAGTGGATTATTCAAGATTCATGTTGCCAGTCCTTTGAGTCAGCTGGTTAGAAATTAGGCTTAAAAATCCACATTTTCAACTGAGATGATACTAATTTTCAGACCAGACTTTGCAAAACAGCTACTCAGATACAGTCTGGAATGCAAATATGAAAAACCATGGTCTCTGCCCTCACAGTGCTCATATTTAAATTGGGAAGTAGTTCCACTTATAACAAATGATGACCAACACTGCTAATGGAGTTCTTCACAAAGTAGGGCAGGAACATAAAAAGGTTCCTGTGTCTATCAAAGGGCTTTAGCTAAGACGCAGTGTGTGAGTGGAATCTTAGAGAAGGGGGAGAATGGGGGAAAGGGTGGGAAGTTTATCAGGAGGATGTGTAGAATGGGGCTACTCCTGGCAAAAGGAATAGTATGTAGAAAAGCACATAAATGACCACTGCTTGCTTCAAATAACTCAGTACTGCGGGCATGTGACATGGAAGTGGGGAGGAGGAGAAGGTGTATGTCCAGTTTTCACAGACAACACAATATAGCCAACGTCTCCAATCCAATCCAATCATGAATGGCTTCATAGGTCTTGCAAAAGAGTTGAGAGTTCACCCTACAGGGTTTGAGACTGGTGAAGAAGATTGCATGCTCAAATGTTAAAAAGATCATTCTGGATGCAACATTTAAGGTAAAATAGAGCTTAGGCTATAGTCAGAGTAGACCTGATAGAATTACAAAGTTCAGGCTGTGGTTTCAAGACATAAACCAGAGCACTGGTCAGGTGAAGAAAATGAGAAGACCAGCATCTCAAGATGTTTAGAAAGCAGAACTGTCAGAGCTTTATAACTAAACATATGTCCAAGAGTAAAGAAAACCAGTCAAAGTATATTGCCTGGCACAAAGTGGGCACTCAAATGAGCTTGTTAAATTTGATAACTGGGTGGGTAGAAGTACCATACTTTCACAGAGAGAACACTGGAGAAAGATCAACTTTCAGAGAAAAGGTATGTCCATTTCTGAACCTATTGACCCTGTAGGTCTAAACTTCAGAAGACAGACCTTGCTGGGAGAAGAAGCTCAAAATCCCTCAGTTTATCCATATTGAATTGAAGTTCTTACACGGAAGAGGTCCCCGGAAGAGAGGTTCACAACAAACTCTTCCTTGTTCTGGTTACTTCACAAAGAGGTGGCCAGATGAAAGAGTATTAGGAGGTCAGTGTGAATTCTAGGTTCCCTATCCCGTCATACTCCCTCTGCTTGGTGCCTACTAACGGAATTGTAGATTTAAGGAATTCTTTCCCATTAGAGTAAAACTTGTCCAAGACTTTCATCTCTAAATGACCAATTCATGAGATGTCTTGAAAACTAATTGAGTTCTCCATAGCAGCTATGACTACAAGATGTTAAAGCATCAACTCAACAAGTCCACTTAGTCATGGCTGGCAGTTGCAAACTCACAGGTGGGTAGGAGGTCACGTAATTGCAGTGAAAGTGACAATTCACTCACACCCAGTCATTTTGTTTTTAAAAACATTGTGTTTGCCAAGTAAAATCTTCAAAGGAGACCTCCATGGGCTTAGCCGGTTTAAACCTCTCATCTTGGTGTTTCTAAATCCTCTTTTAATATATTCCAGGTAAACACTGGAAAACTGCTTTACATTTTTCTGCTTCCATCTATCTCAGCAGATCAGCCTAATGTGTAATATAAACCAAGGTTTATACACACTAGTTCTCTGAAAGCCCAGTTTGCAGAATTCTGTTTCTTCTTATATTAGTTTTCTAGGACTGCCATAACAAAGAACTACAAACTGGATGCCTTAATCCACAAAAATGTATTGTCTTAAAATTCTCGAGTCTAGAGGTTCAAAATCAATATGTCAGCCATGTTGGTTCCTTCTGAAAACCGTGAGGGAAAGACCTGTTGCAGGCCTCTCTCCTTGGCTTACAGATGGCTATCTTCTCTTAGTGCTCTCCCTGTATGTGTCTGTGTGTTCAAAGTTCATTTTCTTATGAGGACACCAGTAATATAGGATTAGGACCCACTCTAATGACCTCGTTTTAATCTAATTATCTCTATAAAGACCGTATCTCTACATAAGGTCCCACTGTGAGGTAATGGGGGTTAGGACTTGAACATAAAAAATTTGAGGACACAATGCAACTCAAAATGCATCTTAATTCACTCAAAGCAGAAACCATGAAGAAACATTTCTCCTCTTATTTGGGGAATGGAATTCAGAAGAGACCAGAAGATGTTCTCATGTTCTCACCACAGGGAAGGCAGAAGCACAGACTCCCACAGGCCAAGAAAATGAGGTAAGAAATAGATTGCTAAGCTCATGGGCATGTCACTAAGTCACTCTTCCCAACTGACCTCTTTAAACTGGTTTCCTGAGGAAATGCTCCCTTCCCCTTCTTAAGCGAGACATTTTACCCACATTGTTACCGCTCAATTTCACCCTCCACCCCATTCCCACTCATATTACCTTGGCTGATACTGATGGGGGCCACATTCTAATATGCTGAAAGATCTAAAGAAGAGCCTCTTCAGTGGTTTTCTTTCTTTTGTCTCCTTTATTAGAGCATCAGCAACCAGTATGACCCAAGACACATACAAAAGCAAGTCCCAGGTGCCTCCTTCACGTGATGCTGGCCTCAAAGACCCCATGAGGAGCAAAGAGCAGCCACTCTTTCAAAATAACAGAACTACCTGCTTCATAAAAGAGCATCCACAAGCCCAAGAGAAAGATTCTGTGAATCCACCTAAGGACGTAGACTCCAGCAAGGGCATCTGTGTTCTGTGCCAAGATCAAGCAGTTTCCACCAACACCACAGAACAAGGTCCTAGTTCCAGCCCAGCTAGTGATAGTGGAATGGAACGTGCTGATGAAACCAGATCAAAAGATGTTGCTCTAAAGCCAGATGGGAACACTGGAAAACAAATGCCCCTAAATCATGTGGAATGTGCAGGAAGCTTCCAAGGCGAGTCCCCAAAGCCAACATTCTTAGAGTTGCTTTCAAAGGCCAGAAATGCCCATTATCTCCGGCACAGGGTCCCTCCTGAGTCTGAGAGGTTGCTTAGCATTGGGGAGATATTTGGGCATGGGGAATCCTCATTGTCCAGTGCAGGAGAGGAGTGTGAAAATAGGACGCCTTCTAAGTTTCTTCCTCTATAACCATTTAACATAGCCTGACAGTAACATATGCCATTATTGCCAAGGAAATGTGCTCCTCAAATGACTATGTTAGGCAATACAGAGAAAAACAAACAAACATAATTGAATTACAATTTTATTTTAAACTCCCTATTTTTTTTTTCCGGGAACATAGTATTTCTTAGCCAGGTGTGGTGGCTCACGCCTTTAATCCCAGCACTTTGGGAGGCTAGGTGGGCAGATCACCTGAGGTCAGGAGTTCAAGACCAGCCTGACCAACATGGAGAGACCTCGTCTCTACTAAAAATACAAAATTAGCTGGGTGTGGTGGTGCATGCCTGTAATCCCAGCTACTCAGGAGGCTGAGGCAGGAGAATCACTTGAGCCTGGGAGGTGGAGGTTGCAGTGAGCCAAGATCACACCACTGCACTCCAGCCTGGGCAACAAAAGCAAAACTACGTCTCAAAAAAAAAAAAAAAAAAAAAATTCTTGAATGAACGATGCTAATATATGAAAAAGGAGAGGTGGAATGAATCTTCTGAAAATATTTTAAGTGATACATTTATGATGTTATCAAAAATACGAATATATATTGATGACCGGACTTGATGGCAAAATAGTAAGAGTCCGGCTTTCAGGGACTTCCTGTTTCTTCTAGGAGACTCTCATGGTGCCACCTGCTGGCAAAATGGCATAGCTATTCTCTTTGTTTTAGTTTGACAGATGGTAGCGGTAGAAATGGGAATGGAATTGTAAATATGTACTGTAACGTGGTCCCTAAAGAAAACCTGCTCTTTAACCACAGCCCTGTGTTATCTTTGGAAGCTCTTTCTTTCATTCCTTTATTTCCAGATGGCTCCATTTTAATTTTCTCCTTCCTACTTTCAACCTGCTCATATCAGATTTTTGTAATCCTGTTGAAAGAATAATAGACAATCTGTTTCCTTTCATATCTCCTAGAATCAAAGGATTTAAAAAACTTTTAATCATCTCCCAACATGCTGTCAAATGCATAGCAGATTCTATCAAAACTATTTCACTGTAAAATGAGAGGTACTAACATCTTTAACAAGTTACTGTTTCAAGTAGGCCTCTAAGACTTGGGCTACACTGTCCAATAATCCATTAGATTTTGTTTCCCATCCAAAGGATCCGAATATTACACTAAAAGTAAGTAGTATCATAAGTCATCAGAAAAAAATAGCTTTTTGTTAATGCATTTTAAACTTATTATCTACCTAATAAAGTGTAGAATAAAATCATCACCACTTTTTATTTTTTCCCCCTGAGACAGATCTTGCTCTGTCGCCCAGGCTGGAGAGCAGTGGCTCGATTTCAGCTCACTGTAACCTCTGCCTCCTAGGTTCAAGCGCTTCTCCTGCCTCAGCCTCCCAAGAAGCTGGGATTACATGCGCACGCCACCGTGCCCAGCTGTATTTTTTTGTATTTTTAGTAGAGACGGCGTTTCACATGTTAGCAAGTATGGTCTAGAACTCTGACCTCATGATCCACCCACCTCGGCCTCCCAAAGTGCTGGGATTATAGGCATGAGCCACCGTGCCCAGCATCACCACTTTTTATCTATGCTGACTCTATTAGGAAAACCAGCTTGAACCTGTACGTCTCAAATAAATTATGCCTCTCTTGGGTAAATTCAAATCTTCAACCCAATAACAAACTTTAATTACAGAAGGATAAACTTGAGGGCGTATTTCATATCTGGAATCAATAATTGACATAACCCAGCCTCGGATATTTTGATGAAACAAGATTATTTAGCTCAGAAATGATAAAGAACCTCAATCTACTAATATTACAAAGAGCCTGAAATGAAGGTTAATTCATAATTAATTTATAGTTCATGAAATATAAATTCAAAGTACATTTAATTTGAAAACATTTCATTTAATTCAGATTTAGAATTACTGTGTTTAAAATAGTAATTCCTAATAGCTTCTATTTTTCAGTACCTTCCCCCATCCTGACACATTCCACACAACATGTTAGCCGGTCCTCAAAACAATGCTGCAATATAGTTTTCTTTATCCCCACTTTACAGATAAGGAACTTGAAGGAAGAGTGGTGGCAACTTGCTAATAGACGACAGACAAGCATTTCATCTCTCCTCAATTTCCTGGCTTATGCTCTTTCATTACATCTTACTACTACCTCTCTGAAGACAAAAGCTTAGATGAGAGTTAGTTTCATTAGCCCACCCTCCCCTTCAGTGGGGAGACAATACTTTATAGTGAAAAGAACACAAGAAATCTGCTCCCCCCAACATTTTCTTCCGTGAAGCAAACCAACAGAGGAAGGCGGGCCACAGGAGACAGAACCGATTCATGAAAACTTAAATTTGTTTGCACTAGCCATGCCTGGGCCAGCAGAAATAGGCACACACCAGTCAGAGAGCCCCTTTGTAAACCACTCAAGCTCTTTCCTGTAAGTTATTTCTTCCTGTCTTCTACACAAGCCTTGCCTGTCGTCATCACAATTTTCCTCCAAGGCTGAGTCCTGAGTGAATGGGTTGTCACTGCTAAGTGGGCCTTTTCACTGTACTAGCCCTAACAGGGAGAAGGGGCCATCACAAGGCAGCAGGGAGCCACACCCAGCCCAGGCCTCTGCTCTACTTGGTTCTACCCACTCTGTTCCAAGTCCACCTCACTCCTGCCATCTACCGAGGTGAACATTCTGCATGTTCCTCCTTGCTACCTTATTTGTGTCTTCATGTACATCTGACAGACCCAGATCTGTCTGCACTTCTAAAATCAGTATTTTATTACATCCTGTTTTAAATAATATTGCATACATTGTCACAAAATTGTACATTTTAAAATCTTCCGACCACCTAGATTTTATCTTCTTATCATTTAGCCTAATACATTTTTCTTCTTCAATACAATGGATACAATATTCTGATTAGTACAACTTAACACAATCAAAGAGAAAGCTGCTGCGTGGAGCCTTTCCTGCATAATTCATTACATTCTAAGGAACAGTTTAAATCCTTAATCCTCACATAGCACACTGTGCTTTTAGGATGGCTTGCTCTTGACCAGTCTACGGTCACTTCACTTATACCAGTGGTTCTCAGCTAGGAGCAAATGTGCCCCTTGCCTCCCAAGAAACATTTAGCACTGTGCAGAGATATTTTTGGTTGTCACAACTGAGGTGAGGGGGCTGCTACTGGAGTCTAGGAGGTAAGGACCATAAATCCTATAATGCATGGGGCAGCCCTCCAAAACAAAGAATTAACAGGCCCAAAATGTCAGTGGTGCCAAGGTTGGAAACTCCACCCTGTACCATTTCATTAAATACTCACAAAACCTTCTGAGATAGAAAATCAGGGAGATAATTGCTGCCATTTTACAGATAAAGAAATTGAGGCTCATGATAAGTACAATAGCTTTCTTCATACCAGAATGTGGATGAGGAACAAAGACCAGGACACTCTTTTCCCATACTCTCCTCTCAAAGAAGATGGGGAATGGCACCTGTTCAGTGGCTGTCACCCTCACTTTCAGTTAAGAAATGCTGTAATCCCGGCACTTTGGGAGGCCGAGGCGGGTGAATCATGAGGTCAAGAGATCGAGACCATCCTGGTCAACATGGTGAACCCCATCTCTACTAAAAATACAAAAAATTAGCTGGGCATGGTGGCGTGTGCCTGTAATCCCAGCTACTCAGGAGGCTGAGGCAGGAAAATTGCCTGAACCCAGGAGGCGGAGGTTGCGGTGAGCCGAGATCGCGCCATTGCACTCCAGCCTGGGCAAGAAGAGCGAAACTCCGTCTCAAAAAAAAAAAAAAAAAAAGAAAAAGAAAGAAATGCTTTCAATCCTACACCAAAAAATCTAACATTGAAATTAGTAACAAATGGTTAAAGGAGAAAATGTATACTTCAATGTTGAAGAAATATTTTTATTACATTCATTCATTTATTCATTCATTCAGAGATGTATTGAGGACAGACGATCCCGTCCCCATTCCCTCCCCCATGAGGAAAAGGAGGCTGTTGCCTTGTTGCCTTAACTCATTCAATGAGAAGAGATTCCACTTCTCACCTAGAGGCAGAGGCAGCTGGAAACTCTAAGAGATAGAGACTCAGCCTCTCACCCAGCTTCCTCAGGTTCTGGAGGCTACTGAAGAGCACCCTGAAGGGCCTCCCAATCCTCAGTGTTGGGGGAAAGTTGGGTAAGTTGTTACCAGGAACACTGACGGGCCCAGCTCCTCCCAGGGTGAAATGAAACTTGAAGGAAGGGCAGAGGGAATCATGCTTGGGCAAGAGTTTTGCCCTCACATCAAGAGAACCAGAGCATCAGAGGGTGCCAGTCCAAACAGATGTCAGCAACCCTACCTCACCAATGACAGCCAGAATAGCAAGCAACCATTGCAAAAAAAAACAAAAAAAAAACAAAAAAAAAAAAACAAAAAAAAAAACACAGTGGGGCAGGAGTGGGAGGAACCAGCGGTGTGTGGATCATTGCATGAACCAATCATTCCCTCACATCCATCCCTACCCACTGGGGCAGGCATTCAGGCACTGAAGACCGGAGAAGGGAGAGCAGGCAGCCAGGTCCTCGTCTTCTGCCCCAGGCCGGTGCAGTAGAACAGAAGTTCCACCGGGTGGGGAAGGAAGACTTTAAACTGGACATGAAGCAGAAGTAATAATACCTAAATGCAGTTAAATGAATATCTACCAGAAATAAAACTTTTAAAACAGAAGTGCATGGAAGTTATCAGATCAGACTAAAAGAATATTAAGTAAAGCTGGTCATAGTTACTGGAGGCAAGAAAAGATCATCATTCCATGTTTATACCTCACCCAGCTGAGACTTTGCAACCTAACTTATATAAAGAGGCATTGCACTGAGTTAGATTGGCTATAAGAAACACAGGTCTTTATTATATGGTCCTCATTTCAAACGTGGCTTGGGGCATGTGTGCCCCCCTTAAGATTTATAGGAAAAAAAAGTCTTACCTAATTAAGCATAAACTATACCCTAACTTCTCCACCTTCCCACCACTACTGTGAATATGCTATATATCCTAATGCTGTATGTCCTAATAGTAGGCATCATTAAAAATTGTAAATGAAATTTAATGTAATTAGTTTAATTATTTTGAACTATTCAAGTTTAATCCCATT